TCCTCCCTATGTACCTTTTGTTGTTGCTTGCTTCTCCCTACCGCCATGCAAGACTCTAGAAATCAGTATCAAAACTACTGAGCACCTTTTCATTGGCTTTGACAATTTCTGGATAGGTGAAAGTATTGTATTGTTTGAGTTACAGACCAGGACTAATAAAGATGGTTGTTACTTTGAAAATCATGCAGCCTTTGTCGTTAACTGTAGCATAAGTAAGAAAATTTGTTTGCATAACGCTGTCAGATGTCCAAATTAAATAAACTGTCGTAGTCTTCAAATCATATGTCTGTTTTAATGGTCAATTAGTATATAACCTCTGAATTTTTAAACTGATTCTGTTTCTTTAAACGTGGTCTGATTATTTTTCACTGATTGAATTGCTTTGATGCAAATCACTAATAGGCCTCTGAAAATTTAGTCCATTGGAATTGATTTTAGTTGGAGGGGCTTTTTTGTGCTCTGTTTACATCTGTTTTCCCAGTTCCTCCATTAGCTTTGTTACCAGGAAATCTTGGCCACCAAAAGGTCACTCCGTGTGCATTAAGCAAAACAGTTTCCACTTCCTTTTTTTGCCACTTAGGAAAAAAAAAATTGAAAAAGTGAACATAAAAAGCATAGGAAGAAGTTTATTATTTATTTCTAAACAATTTTTTTTAGCTTTAAAGAGAAAGGACAGACCCAGTTGTGTGTGTTTTAGTTTGTACCTTAGTAGATAAATTTTAGTTTCTGTTTAGAGTGAGGAGTTAATCTATTGTATTTTGTTCTGGGCTAGGCTTCATTTTTATGGGATTTCAGTCTCAAGTTTGGAACAGTCTCAAGTTTGGTTCAGTGACAAGATACGTCATCCTCAGTGACTTGCCCTTATCTAGAACTTCATTAGTGCGCTTCTATTTTGAGTGTCTGTTCTCTTTTAGGGCTGTTTAGTTTTGAAAAGAGTGCAGACAGGTTGTTTGGATGTGTGTTTAATATACTTTTAAAAAACCCTTCTGTTCTACTAGCCCTTTATTTTTCCTGCATGGTTTCAATTGAGCGCATGTTGTAATAGACTTTCTTGTTTTCACAAAGTATATTTTTAATCTAAGGTTCATGTGCTATTAACAAAAACAATGCGCATTATATCAAATTTTGAAAATCCTGAACTAATAATCTTTTGTTACACACACCACGTAGGTGCTGCTGCATGTAATGCCTTATTTGACATAAATCTAGCCTGTGGGGAAAGGGCAGCACCTCATTTCCAGTTTTAAGTTGTAGGGCAAGCTGAATCAAATGTTTAAATAGATACAAAATCAGAAACACAAACCAGAGGCTGAGATTTGTATTTTTATGCCTTTTTCATTAGTTCTTACAGGATATTTGAACTTCTTAAAAAGGCCTCCAGCGAAAAATGAGGGTCAGAATATGCCATCCAAAACACACAGACTTTTAACTCATAAAAATAGAGGTGGTGATTCAGATTTACTTGTGGTCTGAGTTTACAATTTTAGATAAGCTGAATGCATTGGTTGCCTGTGGTCTGTGCAAGCCTGATATATAGAGGAGGCCAACTTTTAAATGGGAGGGTAGATTGTAATAAGCCCTTTGATTCCCCTTAAATCACTGTGAACTGGCAAAGGGCACATTTCAGTATGATCAGAAGCACATGCACTTGTTGGCTTCGCTGGCATGTGTATATTTGGTTTTTCATTGACAATAAATTAGCCAGCCGGCCTTTAAAATGCAAACTAGATAGCATGCAAACCAGCAATAGTTTGCTGGTGTTGTAGCAACTAAAGAGAGCCTTTTAAAATCCTTTCTTTTTATAAGATAAATTGTTCAGATTAATGCAGTTGTAATTGTTGATTCTTCTAGTTTATTGAACTATATATAAAGCCATGCTGGAGTAATTGTATGGATAACAAAACTTTTCATTTAGGTATTTTCATTAACATAAGTCAAGCTAAATAATTTCTTCCATTGAACTTTTTCTTAACTCAATGCAATATTTGATATTGAAGTGGAAAACAAATTATTGTGTTGTTGTTTTAATTGAATTACTAAATTGTATGTAAACTCGAAGCACTGGCTTTGGCAGTCTATGGTGGAACATGCTAATGAAACCTGACAGGCTTAGGAATTTGTTTCTTCGTGTGCAAAAGGAAAGCTGCCAGATTTTTTTCTTCAGTATTGGCAGACATAAAGCTTTTGATTTTGTGTTGATGCTTGCAGAGCATTACTAATTATAAAAAGCAGTTGAGCAACCTTTGCGTAGTTCTGGCACTCTGTCTGACTCAAGTGTTAAATGATTCAAACAGTTTCTATAGAAGAATCTGCTTTTCCAAAACTGTTACTTGTGTGCATTGTTCCTTGTAAAATTTAACAGTAGGGAAATATTTCATAGTATGAATTTAAGATAATTAATAGAAAGATCTACCTTTGAAATAAGAATACTGTTGACATTTATTTTGAAATGACCTCTTTAATATGTAGGCTTTTTTCCTACTTTTTTAATTCATATATTGTGCCTACTAGTTCCAGAAAGTCCCAAGTTGAAAATGTACTTTATTGTAACAGTTGGATCTTCTTTCCATAGTTCATTATTTATTTTTCTTTTTTATAAATGCAACAAAAGCTTTTTGTTTATTTGTTTGTGTAAGGCAGCAGTGTTTAAACCACTTCTGTAAAAATAAAAATATTTTACTTTTGTAATTATTGAAACTTACATGAAATCCCTGTGGCGTTTTTTAATACTTAGTTTGTGATCAGAGATGATTTAGACTTTTTTCGTGTGTGCCAATAGGGCTTTTCCTTTACACAGCAGAATTGTATTCTCTCAGCACTCACATCAAGTCCCTCTACAGGTAAAATCGTCAGCCTGAGACAAGTATACCCACCTGTATGAGCATCGTAGATTCTTTTTTTCTATTTATGTTTCTGTGGGAGAGAAAAGGAAGATTTATTTTTTTTTAACGTCACATGAATGGCAAATCATTTAGAAGGTTGTGTATGGCAGAGTGGCGGGATTGGGAATTGGGCTTGGGAATGTGTACGCAGTTATATTCAAACTTCCTTGAGGATGGGAGAAGTTTGAAGCAAGCAATTTCAGTTAATACTGATCATCTCCTTATCAAGTAAAGTTACTCTCTTGTTGTAGAAAAGCTGTGACCCTTAGGGAAAATGTTTCTATAGTTTAAATGCATTTATATAGAGGAAATCTTAAAACCGTAGAAATGGTTCTATGTTTCTTTAAAAAAACTCATTAATAGAAAAACAGTAATTACAGAAATTCCTATTTCACACACTTTGGATAGTAGAACATAGCTGGATCGTTTCTCTTCTGCTTTTACACCAACACAGATGGTCGTTTTTCAGAAGTGTAGAAAAAGATTTCTTGAAGTTGGGATTAATAAATGCTCTGAAATTTTAATAATTCTAATATTTTTCTCAATTTGCATATGAATGCTTGAAAATTGCCTTTAAAATTTTAGACTGTATAGTACAAATCAGTTTAACTCTTTAGCTCCTGGGGCTTGAATGAGATACATCTTGGTAAACAAAGTGCAAGCATTGTATGTCCTGATTAGCGCTCCAAGAATTGTGAATAAGTGTGCTAGACACTGTTAAGGACATGGAGAAGGAGGACAAATGTCCTGGTGGTGACCATTACTTTTATCACTGCGTAATGTGTAACTGCAAGCTGTTTGAAGGGATTTTTGTTTAGGAGAATAAAGGTCAGTGATCTTTCTGTTTATTTCATCTGGCTGAACAATGTCCACCTGCTTTGCAAACTAAAAATATGGACATAAGGGCCAAGTTCAGTCCTTTCTGCCAAAGATACAATTCAGTCTCAACTCTTAACAATATCAGCAGGGACACTCAGCTTTTACCAAGGTTAGACATTGAGAAAATGTGTAGTTTTTGTTAAAGAAAATAAAAATGATTTTTCCTCTTCAGTTTCATTCCTATTCTTAGTGTACAATTGTATGTGAAATACCAAAAGTGTTTCCAACACACTATGCTTCTGCACTTCTGTGTGAGTTCTAAGTGTACCATTCTGAACCACGTCTTCTTATTTCTCCCTCTTTGATTTAGCACTGTTAGAAGGGATGGTGATGTTTAGAAGGAAGAACCGAAGCAAAAATCTTCCTGCAAATGTATACTAAAATGAACAGGTTCACAGTCTACAAATATGCTAGGGCATTTATTCCCTGAAATATTCTTGTAGTTAAGGTGGTAAGCTTTTGTGTCTAGGTATTGTTTGACCGTAGTATGTCTTATCTGTTGATAGCCAGCATTATTTTTTATAGAAGATAGATCTTTCTGTATAACAAAGTCTTCGTGGTTCTATCTTTGATATTTAACATGCATTCAGAATGTGACTGGATTTGAGATGATCAATAAAAGCACCATACGGGTATAAAATAAATTTTAAAAATCAAATACCCTCTTTAAATCTAAGAAGTTTGCTAATAAATATTTGCAGGAGTTAAGAATGATATTGCTGACAAACTTCTCCATAAACCAACCATAGTTGCAGCACTTCTAGGACAGCACTTAGCAGATGCTAAGCATCTGTTCTGGAAGCCAGACATATATTGTTCCTGCTTCACAAACAGCAGAACTGATGTGGAGGGATTGTTTTTGCTCCAAGCCTCCCGGGCATCTGTGCCAGTTGGAAGTAGAGCAGGCTTGTCCTTGACAGTCAAGGTGAACAGGGGAGAAACAAACATACTGTGCCTGTTGTTTTACTGTTATGTTGGGTTTACCTGCTGCTGGAAATTTTGCACAAAGTGGAAGGTTTATGTTGTGATGCTGCCAAATTGGATGGCTCACAGGCTATATAGTGGTTGTGAAATCCCCATGATGTTCCTGAGTTGACCCATAGTGGTGCAAACCCTTCTGCTTATTGAGACTGTTACAAGTTGATATATTTTTAAAAAAGATATCAAAAAATAATAATTACACCCTCATTACTTTTGCTTCTTATTCCTCCTTTTCTGTTTACTGTATTTTATTTATAGGTGTTGATTTTAAAATCAAAACAGTAGAGCTAAGAGGAAAGAAAATTAGATTACAAATCTGGTAAGTAAAACAAATGTGCAACCAGCAGTATGTTTTAATTTTATGTTCTAGCATGAATTAATATGCTTGTCTAATACTTCTATTAACTGTTATAAGCTGGTTTAGCTCTTACCCTACTACTCCTCTCCTCCATTCCCACAAGACTTAAGCAAAACCAAATAGCTCTTAGATTTTTGTGAGGGTAAAGGAGGAGAAGGAGAGATAAAGTTAGAAGTAGGGCATGAATGTAATTACTGAAATATTAATGCATCACAGACGACTCGAGCCCCTTTTCCTAGAAGAATGACATCACCTACAGAAGAAATAGGAGTTCTACAAACAACAAAAGGTGACTGTGCTAAATAGACACTAGAGAAAGTACACTTTGTTTTCTTTATTTTTCTGGACTGATTAAAACTGACCTTCATTGTAACAGCAATTATAAAACAACTATGAAGTATTTTCTAAACTGTTTTTCTAAAACTTGGTATAGGCAGTGCTGTTTCTTTGATGCTGTTTGAAATAACTTCAACGTTAAGGGCATTCGAGACTTAAGTAAATTATATCCACTCTAAACAGTGTGGGAAAATGGTTCTCCATGTTAGTGATTAATACGGTTTTTATTGTTTAGAAATTATTGAGTTTAACAGCTCCTTTGTTTTGCGGAGTAGTACAATACATAAACATTATTATGAGAGAATAAACCAGCTATGTTCTATACCTTAACCTTATATACTACTATGTAGAAGCTTAGCTTTGGTTTATTAACAGTGTATGATGCATAATTGGCATTGTAGTTAAACTGTTTAAGCTGCTAACAACCCATAGAGGGGGGAAAAAGCTCTAAATATTCTTGTTGTTACACTTTTGGGATATTCTGGTGGTTTGTCGTTCTTAACTACATGGATGCAGTGAATTCAGCTTACTAACTCCTCTTGGCAGGTCACCATCAACTCTGTCTGTCACACCATGTGTCTGTCTTGCTTCCCTCTGAGTTAACTGCTGCTTCATCTTTGGTCTCATCAGTCACCTAACACTTGAATGTTAGTGGCATGTCTTCATTCATCTGTCCCTGTTTGGAAACCTATGACCACAAGACTGGCAGTTGAGCCAGCAATTGTTAGCCAGGGTCTGCTGGAGCTGACAGAGGTAACAAAAAATTCTGATGTGGAAATACTACTGTATGCCTAATATGAATGCTTGCTGTGAAATGTGGTAAGCTGATACAAAAAAATTCTCCTGTTGAATAACTACGTTATAGGAGAGAAGTTTTGTTGGAAAAGAGATGTTTAAACCATTATTTTCCACATATTGAGAATATGCTAGTAGGATATAGGAAACTTAAAACTAAAAGTTGAGAGATTGCTAAATTGTGATGATTACTCCTGTGTGGAGCCCTGCTACAATAGCAAGGAAAACACAATGTAATGAGATAATATTTTAAAATATGATAAAATCCACGAACACAACATCCTCCTCCTAAGTGTCACTTCATCTCCAACTGTGGCTGTTAAAATGTTGTTCTTATACTGAATCTTTAAAACTGTCTTGGCTTACTTCCAGTTTTTTAGAAAAGCAATTAGATAAGCACTCCTTTTGCTAATTTATGCTGAATTCTGTTGTGTATTTTGTTGGGCCTGTTTATAAACTCTTATTAACACAGAATCAGACCCTTAAGATTAATAAGTCCAACTTATAACCCATTGCTGCCGAGTCTACCACTGAACCATGTCCCTAAGTGTCATGTCTACATGTCTCTTAAGGTGACTCAGCCACTGCCTTGGGCAGCCTGTTCCAGTGCTTGACAGCCCTTTTGGTGAAGAGGTTTATTTTCCTAATATCCAATCTAAACCTTCCCTGGCGCAACTTGAAGCCGTTTCCTTTTGTCCAGTCACTGGTTACTTGGTAGAAGAGGCTACCCCCAGCTGGCTACAACCTCCTTTCTGGTAGCTATAGAGAGGGATAAGGTCTCCCTTGAGCCTCCTTTTCTCCAGGCTAAACAACCCTAGCTCCCTCAACTCCTTATTGTATCTTCGGTTGTTAGATTGAAGAGGAAAGCAATTTAGTAAGTCAAACACTTGAAAGTTAGAAATGCAGACTGCAATTGCATGGCTAATCATAAGTCAGTCTCTTTTCATACCTACACAGTGACAGAATTTAGGTTGCCTCATACTTCCTAGTAGTTTTGCATATAATTGCAGTAACTTTACTACAAAAAATGTTTTATTCAGTGAACAGATAATTTCTGAACTTTATGCTTATTTGCTTTCTTAAAATGACTAAAGTTATGTTTTGAAGTATCAGGGTTTGGATTTTTTTTTTAGTCATTTGTTGATTCTACTTTAAAAGTCAAACAAGAACAGTTTAAAAAAAGTTTAAATTTGGTATTTTTATGGTCACTTGACCTGTTTCTCCATTGACCACTCTGTCAGCAGAATGTTTTCCGTAGAGCTCTACCACTTGAGTTTATCAAAAGATATATTAAAGTAGTACCATGTTGAATATTTCAATCAATTGGGTGTGCAAGATGTCCTTTTTAAAGCAGCTTTTACATCTGCTGCTGTTAGTAGAGTAGTATACAAAAGGACTCATCACCTGTATTCCCTTTGTAATGGGATACCATGCACTAAGGATCACAGAGGCATCTCCTCTCGCCTCTAGCTTTACCTGTTCCTATCTGGTTCCTGTTTCCCCTGTTTCCATGACTTTCAGTCGGGAAACAACCTTATACTTCTTAAATTATGCAATGATAGAGCACCACTGAGGACAGAGAGTAGTGTCCATCTTTTCTGTGCTACCTGTAACAGGTAGTAGTGCCCCTTGGGTTGCCAAAAGTAGTGGGATGCAGTAATTCAGGTCCTGCATCACAGTTCTTGGCTGAAACAAGTTCCTGTGTTCTATAAAAAGTAATGCGTGCATGCAACTCAAGCCATGGGGTAGAGTAACCAGAACTACTGGATAGTTCGAGTGTCTAAGTGAATCCAGGCATCTGTGAATCAGCACTTTTTCAAAGCTGGAAACCCAGACCAAATAATAGGAGCTCCACATTGATGCTTTGAAGCATAGATGTGCTGGGAGTTGCTCAGTAGGACAGTAAGGTGTCCGACTGTGCCCTCTCACGTGAGTCATCTGGGCACTCATTCACACAAGCAGCTGACATGACCAGCGGTCACTTCCAGCCTCCCCTCTGAAAGGACCTGGTTGCTGGAAGCAGTGGTGCCCTGCCATTGCGCCGAGTTCCTTGCTGGAGCCAAAGGGGCTCTCTACCTCTACAGGCCTAATGCCCAAGGTAGCCAGTGTCCTGGCAACAAAACAGTCTTGATTTGCTTCTGAAGGTTGTTTTAAAGTGGTGCATTCTCAGTTCACATTCTGCCGGCTCTGTGATCTAAGGATCAGTTGTCTTGGAAAATCCTTGTCCTGGAGTATAACAGAATGTAGTTCCTTTTGTTCAGTACCTCTGAAATAAACTATTTATATAATAAAAGATCTTAAGTATCTTTCTGGTTTATGGGAGGAAAAAAACTCATCTTGACAAGTAGAATTCACGTCTAAAATTACTTTAAAGCATTTTTTAAAATACTGCCTGTAGGTTCCATAAAAGCATAGAGCATGTGAGTGTTAAATTAGTGTTAAATTTTTATTAAAGTTTTAAAAATATTTTCTCTTCTATTGCCACTTCACGCCACCACTCATAAAAAAGTAATTTAAGTACAGAGCCAGAGACAGTTTTGAGTCTGTCCATGTGTTTGTTTCAACTGGTGTAGATAGACACAGAGAACATTTATGTAAAAGAAAAATTATCCAAACATATTTTAATCAACTGTATTTGTATTGTATTTTATGCAGTATGACATAGAATATGACATATCAACGCTTGAAAATGGGCTTTGTGTGATTTTTTAATTTCTTTTGTTTGGTGTAATGTATGTTTGTATTTTATCTCTAATTTCTGTTTTGGAAGCAGAAAAACAATCAAGCGGTTGGATTCTATTATTGCAGAGTATAGCTGGTCAAGGAGTCATTCACTGTATGTTTCTGATTACAATTTAGAAATACTAGTATTTTTCCTTTAGAAAATTTTCTTGAAAAAATCAAAAGGCTTTTAACATTTAAAAAAGAGAAATCTGGTGGTTTTTTTGTTTTGTTTTGTTTTGTTTTTTTTTTCAGTTATGCTAGATCATTGTTTAAATTGTAGTAACTTATTATTTGGACTTCTGGAGTTTGAATTAAATTCAGCTGACTTAGGCTATTGCGTTGATTCTGACCAGAGCAAATAAAGAACTAGTAGCACTTAGTATCACTTATGAAGTTGATGAAGTTATGTACTGTTAGCCCAGTTAAATAGTGGTCATCTCTTCTTCCACCTTTCCATTAGTGCTTCAATAGTTATCCTTAGTAAAATATTCCAGCTGCAGGAGTGTAATACTGGATGAAAATAGTGTAGCAAACTATTGCTCCAGCACTGCACATGAAAGGAAGGCATTTGAAGTTGGATATGCTTTTAATGGCAGCTCTCCATTGAGGATTGTGATTTTTTCCTGAATATTAGAAGGATTTGCTGCACATTTGTGTGAAAAATAAGATGAAAATGGGATTTTTCCACGCAAAAGATCAACGTGTTATTGTTCTCAAACTGCAGTTTACTTAGGTAGCTTGGGGTTGCATTCTAAACTTACTTATTGCAGAAATAGTTTTTCAGTTTTCACCTTACTGTTTGACAGCAAATGCAATTTTAGGGTAATGCTAGAGATCACAAATTCAGCTTATTTTCTTCCACTTTTCAAAGGAAACAAGGATTACAATATCACGCTTACAATCAGAAACCTGCTGATTTCAACCTGTGGCAGCAGTAGAGGTTGTGTGAAGTGTGGAGTAGTCGATGACTTAAAGCAAGGCAGAGAAAGTCAGCCATAATCCACAGTAATTGGCACGACTGGCAGGTGTCAGTCAGTAGCCATCTGGCCATTTATTTTAAGTAGTGGGCAGCCAGGCTGTCCACGGGTGTTTTAAACTGGGCACAGCATGTGGTGTGTCCTGAATAGCCAGCAAGCGAGACTACAAGTTGTGTGACACTTGGGTGAAGGACCTACACAAATGGGAAGCACAGGATCTGAGGGTGCAGCAACCTAGGAATACCATAAACTTTTAAAGAGCCCAGGGGTGTTATAGAGTGAGGAGAAGCTGATAGTACCAGGTGGACTTGGCGACACAGCACTTAGCAAACTAGGGGAAATGTGGAGTTGGAGATAGCTGGAGTGGGAGAGTTGCATAATGTTGTGTAGTTCTCTTCGTTGCTTACTTAACCAGTGTGCTGATGACTGACTTCAGGGAGGGTAGGTGAACATTAGTGTGTTTATTTCCCCTCTGTTTTTATAATGTATGGACTCAGTGATCTGGTACCCTGGTGGCCCCTCTGTGATGGAGCTGCTGAAGCTCCTTAGCAGTCACCTGGAGGCACAGACAGGTGACTTTGAAACACCCTCTTTATTTCTGTGTTCCGATAGAGGTACAGAAAAGAGGGAAAAGACTGGCCAGGAAAAAACCAAACCAAAACCCAAAACCAAACAAAAAACCAACCCACAAAAAAACCCCCAATGACAACAAAAGCAGCTTTCCCCATTATTCTGGACAAAGCTAAAATTGTTATATTCTTCTACATGAGGTGTGCCCTTCCACCTGCTTTCTTAGTTAAGTCTGCTCAGAATTATGGAACCAAAGGTATCCAATCCTCAATATACTTGATCAGTAGGCTGGATTAGCAACAGATGGCAGAATTCTGAGAATTCTGTTCATAAGCACTAGAGCAATGTTATCCATATGTGGAAAATCAACGGTTCATACTAGAATTTTTAAATTTTTCATGGACTGAATGTCCAAAGGACCTTCCATAAATAAATCTGACCATAGCCAAGAAGTAATGGAAAATAAAGTAGTTACTTGCTCTGACTAATACTTATTATATGTATTTTCAGCTGCCAGAACTTGTATTGCTTTAATAAAAATGCCTCTTTAGTGATAAGAAAGCAACCAATTAACCATCTAAAACTGGTCTGCAATACTACTAGTGCATGACCTTATTGAGACAGGCTACCTGTTTTCACCTTCTGTAGGTTCCCAAAGGTTTGTATGAATGTAATTCTGAAGTTCTGAGAATGGGATTTGAATAACAGTCAAATAAAAATGGATGCAATAGGAATTTGTTCTCTTCTGCCTCATGTTGCAATGTCATTGGTTTGTAGTGAAATATAAGTCAATATGTTTCCACAGGCTATGAAGCAGAGGTTCAAAATCTTTTTCTAATGGACACTGCTTTACTTTGTGAATTCACTGCCACATATTTTTTGCTATCAAGTACGCTTGTGGCAATTTGAAGAGAAAGTTAAGTACTTCACTTCTAAACTTGCTTTTTTGAAATTCCTAAAAATTTCATAAAGAGTAAGATAGGTTTGTGGTAGTTTGTTCTACTGCTTGTTGTGCACAGGCCTTAAAAGGATTAAATCTTTGGGACAATTGATGTGGCATTTTGTGAACACACTTCTTTTTTTTTTTTTTGGTAACAAGTGTTTCAGGTCTCCATTGTTAATCTCATTCCCAAATTCATTCTCCTCCTCCTCCTTTTGTCTAAAATGTGACTGTTGAAGAGGGTTCACGTTGAACTTTTGAGTCCAAATGCAAATGCACACATTTTTCTCCATCCACTCTTAAATTTGGTCCGTCTTCTGACTTGGTCTAAGTAAAATTTCAAAATTATCCATTTAATCTGGGAGCTGAACTCAAGCAACAAATGCTTCATCACTTTGGGGTGCCATATAACTTCCTTTCCAGTTGAGATGCCAGTCACATTTTAGGACTTGGGGTATGCACCAGCTGTATTTTTACTATAACTGCCAAAAATCTTCCCTAAGCAGTCTTGATACAATTAAAAGCAGTGCATGGGTTTTCATGGTTCAATAAAAAATTATGCTTCTGTCTCATCTACTTTGGAACAGAAGCCATAACTAGTATGGGTGACTTAGTGTCATTGCTGGATAATAATCTCCAGTGTAAATGCACCCTGTCTGAAATACCTACAGTGCTGACAGTGAGCATGGAAATGTTATTTGAACGCCTCAGATAAGTAGATGCAAGTGTGAAAGCCAGGTATCTACTTTCAAAACTTGTACCAATTAGTGATTGCTTATTCTTTTCATTGACTTCTGTGACAGTAGCTTCTGAAGTAGTTTTAGAACTGTGGCTGAATTGCTGTGGTTGATCCAAAAAGACTCTGAAAGCTCAAATCAAAATGATCAATTCATTGCTTGTGTTATAGTTGGGTGTCTGGATGTATCCATTTATTTTTTCATTTTTTTCAGAGCTATTAAAAAACAAACCAAATCAAGGGACCACAAAAGAAAAAACAAACTCCAGCAATGCAAACCCAGCTTTATCTGCTGGTACATTTTCATTGGACAGCTTCATTCTCAGACACATGTAGAAATGTTTGGTGGCCTTTCTTGGTGAAGTTAGTATGGGATAAATAGTTCCAATATGAAAACTTTTAATGATTGAAAGTACTGCTCCATTTTTTTCCCTGAAATTCACACATACAGGAGGAAATGTAGAGTGTCTAATGAGTGTCGGGGTGTTATTATTAAAATGTAAAAAAAGTTATTCTGTACTTTGCAAATTGGTGAAATGTTTGTGCCAATGTTTGCTGCTGCTTCTTAGGGACACAGCAGGTCAGGAGAGATTCAACAGCATTACCTCAGCTTATTACAGAAGTGCCAAGGGAATTATTTTGGTGTATGATATCACCAAGAAGGAAACATTTGACGATTTACCAAAATGGATGAAAATGATTGATAAGGTATGCCTTAAGTATTTTCTTTTTACATGCTTTTTTCAAGAAGCATTTTTTTCCCTCAGAGAAATCTCTGTCAGACATTTTACAACATTGAGTTAGGATTTTTAAACTACTTCCAGTTGATTTTCACTGGATTCTTTTAGCCAGGATTTAACATTAATTTGGTTTTGTTGCAAAATGGTTGTCCGTTCCTAATTCCTTGAACTAGAATTGTCCCAGCTAGAAGTGTCGGTGGAATTCTGTAACATTACTCATTTACCTGTGCAGTAAAGGGAGGGGGGTTATTTCCTGTCTGTGAAATGAGGTCGTTATGTTCATTCTTAGATAAACTGGAACAGCTAGTTCTCAAGTCATGTTTTAAAGATGGAATTTAAAAATTGAAGTTAAAAATTTTTGAAATAATTTTTGGGAAGAACATTTACATATAAACTGATTTGGTGTGCTTCCCCATTTAGCAGAGGAATTGCCCTTTTTTGTATTGTGTTTGCGTTACAAAATCTTACGTTTCTAAGTTTAGTTAATTAAAAATGTTTTAATTACAGTATGCTTCAGAAGATGCAGAACTTCTATTAGTTGGAAATAAACTGGACTGTGAAGTTGATCGAGAGATTACTCGACAGCAGGGAGAGAAGGTAAGGACAGGTCTAGAAGCAAAGCTGCTGTGGCACTGCTGTTGATGGTCCATGGCTGCTCTTGTTCAGACTGTTAGTTGTAGGGAGCATATTGAGAGTGGTGTTGATCTGGCAAAATTCATATGGTATTTACTTCTATAGAACGTGCAGTTTATATATGTTCCTGCTGGAGCAGTATGATCTAAAGAAAGTAAGCTGTAAGTAGGCTCACACTACACAGTAGTGTTGGAGATACCCCTTTCTGGGCTCCGAAAGTGAAGACTTGAATCACAAATGAAGATACCTTTACTCAGGACATGTTTGCGAGCCTTCTTTCAGTACTGTTTTTGGACAGGCAACAGCCCTGCTTGGTTACTGAGCTCACCTTTGTTTTCATATTTGTTATGTTCTCATGCAACTCCAAAAGTGTTAGAGAGTACAAGAGTGACAAGCAGTCAAGGTACTCATATCATTAGTGTGATACTCATAGCACCATCTTCATCAGGACAATATCAGTATGGGCATACACAAACATTTGGAAGTGAAGTGTTTTCTGCCAGAGAGTCAAGGCTAATTCTTACATCTGTACTTCCCTTTTCTGCATTTTGAATAATAAGGTTAAGATTAACTCTTCTGAAAAGTTCTTACTTTTTGTCTGCAGCAATCTTGTGTCAACTGAATACGTGAATTTCTCAGATTTAAGTCTGGAAAAATGCAGAACACTTTCCCAATAAACCGATTTTAAGCAAAAATTAGCTGTATGTTGCAGTATTTGCTGTACCATGCAGATTCAGGATTATTATTTGAATTAGACTTTAGTCACAGATTTGGGGAAAGTTGTGCGTTTGATTTTTTTCTTAAGGTTTTATGGGGAGGGTAGGTATATTTGCTATTTTTTGCAGTTTGTGCATATCTTCATGGAGTTATTTTATTTTCTCTCCCATCAGTTTGCACAGCAAATAACCGGGATGCGGTTCTGTGAAGCAAGTGCCAAGGATAATTTTAATGTGGATGAAATATTTCTAAAACTTGTTGATGACATTCTGAAGAAGGTAAAATACTCAGGTGGTAGTTCCTCTGACCACATAAATGGTCAGTGTTTAAATAATGACTGCACATGCTTGGGAGGATGTAGAGGGCAAGTACAGACTGTCACGTGAAATTTTTGGATAACATGTAGCGGGCATGATGTAGTTCACAGACTGCTGACTGATGTATTTCACTAATAAGATCCAAAAGATCCTTAAATTGAGGCTTTGGCTGACAGTGAACTCCTGAAATGAGTTCTTTGTGCTGAGTTCTATGCAGATGACTGTTACAGGTGATTTTTCTTTTCTTTAAGATGCCACTGGATGTTATAAGAAATGAGTTGTCCAACAGTATCCTGTCCCTGCAGCCAGAGCCAGAAATCCCACCAGAACTGCCTCCTCCAAGGCCACATGTCCGTTGCTGTTGACTTGTTACTTCCTACAGAGTGAAAAATAGGAGCAGGAGGGTAAAGAAAGTATCTGTACTACTCTGCACTACAATCATTTGGCAGTTTCTCGTTGCACTTTGTTATTCAAGTCAGAGCTACACACTAACTTGTAAATATGCAAATATGCAATCCTATGTAGGATTCAACTATAACATTAATTATTACCCCTCTCCCTCACAATGATGTTTTGTTCATTGCCCCAGTGTTATAAATACTGTACAGTCGTTGGGGGTTTGCCACACATCAGTTGAGGAGAAGAAGAAATTAAATCTATACCTATTCTTGACATAAATGTTGTAATAGTTCTTTGTTATTATAAACAGGCAGGCAGAAGCTCTTCTGGTATGAAGATAAGTATATGGTGCTTTGCTAACTATTTTAAAGACAAATTTTTTAAAAACAGAGGACTTTATGTACAAAGCTTCCATAATGGGCGTTATGTTTCCTTTTAATGTAGTGAAAACACTTTTTGGCTGTAGCATCCTCTGCTGACTGGATTTATTGAAAAGCTAAGTTTAATTTTTGGCAGTCTTCTATTTATTTCGTTTAATGCTGCACCCTTTCTTTGTGTACCAAGACATCACATCTGGTGCAGATCTAAGATTGCACTTTGAAATAGCATATATAATTTTCTGCATAAACATAAACTTGGGTTACAAGAATCACTAAGTTTCAATAAAAGAATGGATATATATTCAAGGTCTAAAAGAAAGTATAAAAAGCAATGCTGCTGTCCTAGACAAATTCTTTAAAAAAAAAAATTAAGATTATACTTTTCCTGTGTTAAGGAATATATATGTGTATTTTTGTCTGGACATCTGTAGGGTTGGGGGGAAGGGAACCTAAGGTAAAATTATTTTCTTTCCTAATGGTGGAAATTATTCCCATCAAGCAAATATTGTGTTAGGATTTTGTCTGATAATTAACTTGTGAATTATATCTTTGGTATATCTTTTATTAAATGCACTGTTTAGTTTAGCTGTGGTAAATCAGTAGATACATATTTGAATAACTCGGTGTGTCCTGAATGTTGTGGTATTGAAAAACATTGTGGTCTTTCTAAACTAATGAAGTGCAAATAAAATTTTGTATTTATGAATGACAGTGGAACTGCACCTGTTATTAGAATGGCGAGAATCAAGTGATGGGTAAAAGGTAGAATCTGGAATATGGAACAACACTTGTTTTAATTTTGTTATAATTTAATTTTCTGCTTGACAGTTCCTTTAGGTGTAGTGAGAAGAGCAGCAGACGTTCGTTGTTCACCTTGATCACTGCTCTGTTGGGAGAGCAGCTGATGACCTAGCCCAGCTCATATCTTCAAAAATAGCATGTGACTGCCTGTCATGCTGTCTTAGCAGGTGGTCGCCAGACTATTAATTACACAGAAAACACAAGTATGAACCGGTCTTTTTTACACTACAGCTTTTCTACTTCACGTTCTCTGGTGCTGGAACACATTTTGTAACTTTTGCCACTCTTCTAGCCAGAACACTGGCACTGGAACAGTAAGGCATACCGCTGACTTAAACAGCTTCTCTCTGTTTTATGGGAGAAAAAAGATACGAGAAACCTTTAACATTTAAAAAAAAAACCAAACAAACAAAAACAAACAAAACCATACCAAAAAAAGAGCCCTTATTTCACTGAGTAAGCTCTGACAGCTTGAATACAATACCATGCAGGTCTTAAGCACACCTGGATTTCTACTGACAAATTGAGGAAAGCATGGTTGATATTTGTGTCTTCTACCACCTTGTGCCTAAACAGTTTGCTTTTTTACATGATAAACTTACAGTTTGCTATCATATTGGCAAGGTAAAATAAATTTCTAAAGCACTTCTACGAGTTCTGATGATACTGTGGGCAATAGCAAGGAAGGGAATCTTATGGAAAATGGATTTTAACTTGACAACTATTTTATTTTAGCTGATTTGTTTTTATTTGTACTTAGAAACTTGTGATTTTTTTTTTCCTGCAGTTTTTGAATTTAATAAAAATTAAGACATTTGACTTAGATAAACTTTCTTTTTGTAGTTCTGTGCTGTTTGTATATAGGCTGATTGGAATCTCAGTCTCTTGTACCAAAAATTAAAAACTATTGCATTTGAGAAGGACATATTTTTGTGAGTATTTGAATGTATTTGATCATTCATTGGAACATAGAAAGTTCAGGAAACCTGTTTGCTTTGCATCCATTATACTGTGAAGAGGGTTCTGGCTCTTGATTTTATCTCTGCAGATTTTATATGAGTCAAAACCACTGCATTTCTGTCCTTGCTCCACCTAGCAGACATTTGTGGTGTGATGCAGAAAGAGGGGTGGGAAAAGAAAGTTATTCATGCTGCTCCCTTGCCTCATAGGGAAGTTCAGCAGTCAGCCCAAACTTTGTTGACATCTAATGATGGAATGTTTGAATGGTCTTTACAGCCACTGAGAGAGATCACAGGATGGAAAGAAAAAGGGAAGGTGACCACTAGCTGCAGCTCTCAGTCTGTTCTAACCTGTGTTAGCAGATCAGTGTTCTTTAGAAGCCTCAGTTAAGGGGGTCCCATTCCCTCTCTTCAGGGAGTGTGTGGGACTGTTTCCTTCTAATACGTGCTTTACCACTAAATTCATCAGATGCTACTGAGGTCCTCTAGTCCCTGGCAGTTTCTTCATGATGGAAAAAAATACACGGGAGTGTCTTTTGGTAAGCAGAAATCACAGAAGTGTCAGAAATAGGATAGTAACATCTGCTCCGAAGTAGTGGTGGTTTCTTGACTTTCTTGAATCACAGAAATAATGAAATATTGAGAAAATGATAGATCGTGGCCACTGAATGATGGTTTGCTGCTGATTTCAATGTAGTTAGGATTTAATCGAGTAAATTCCTGGAACTGTATTATGTAAGATTAGCACTGTGTCTTGTACCAAAACCAAAGTTTATATCTGTCAAGAGACTGAAATAATATTTGATTGTGTCCATAAACTTTTAGACCTGGGCATTCAGCCAGTGAGTTGAATTAACAGATTATTTCTTCAGAAGCGAACAACAGGAACATAGAAAGACTGGAAATTTCTTTTTTGTCTACTGGTCACAGTATGGGAAAAAATGAAAACCACTGCCTTATCAGGATGTCTCGATGCACTGTTGCTGTGTGTGCTAGAGGAATAGCGACAGTCACATCTTCCTTTCAGTAGATGTTCTGCTCCTTCAGAGCAGAATGTCAACGTTTGGTACTTCTGATAAAGGAAGACCAGAAGAAGGTGGAAAAAAAGGATTGGAAGTTAAAATACCAAATCTAAAGCTCCCCTGGTGCAACGTGAGGCCATCTCCTCCTGTTCTGTTGCTTGGGAAAAGAGGTTGACCCCCACCTGGCTACAACCTCCTTTCAGGTAGTTGCGGTGAGCGATAAGGTCCCTGCTGAACCTCTTCTTCTCCAGGCTAAACAACCCTTGGTCCCTCAGCCACTCCTCGTAAGACCTGTACTCCATCCCCTTCACCAGCTCCATTGCCCTTTTCTGGACACACTCCAGCACCTCAATGTCTTTCTTGCTGTGAAACTGAGCACAGGATTCAAGGTGCAGCCTCACCAATGCCGAGTACAGGGGGACAGTCACTGCCCTGGTCCTGCTGGGCACACTGTTCCTGTTACAGACCAGGATGCCATTGGCCTTCTTGGCCACCTGGGCACACTGATGGCTCATGTTCAGCCACTGGTGACCAGCAACTTTCCAGCCACTCTTCCCCAAGCCTGTAGTATGGCATGGGCTTGTTGTGACCTGAGTTCAGGACTGGCATTTTGCCTTTTTGAACCTCATTGCAACTGGCCTCAGCCTGTCAATCCAGTATGTTCAGATGCCTCCACAGAGCCTTCCTGCCCTCCAGCAGATCAACACTCCTGCTCACCTTGGTATCATTTCCAAACTGACTGAAGGTGCACTCAATTCCCTCATCCAGGTCATCAATGAAGACGTTAAACAGGACTGGCCCCAACACTGAGCCTTGGTGAACTCCGTTAGTGACTGGCTGCCAGCTGGATGCAGCACCATTCACCACCACTCTGGGCCCAGCCATCCAGCCAGTTCTTAACCCAGTGAAGAGTACACCTGTCCAAACCATGAGCAGCCAGTTTCACCAGGAGAATGCTTCAGCTTTACTGAAGTCCAGGTATGCAACATCCAGAGCCTGTCCCTCATCCTCTAGGCATGTCATCTTGTCATGGAAGCAGGTTGGGTTAGTCAGGCAGGACCTGCCTTTCATACACTTATGCTGACTGTCCTGTACATGCTGTGTGATGGCACTAAAGATGATCTGCTCCATGACCTTCCCTGGCACTGAGGTCAGACTGACAGGACTGTAGTTCCGTAGATCCTCCTTCTGGCCTTTCCTGTAGATTGTCTCACCTCCTGTCAACTGGGACCATCCTGGTCGGCCAGGACTGCTGATAAATGACAGAAAGTGGCTCATTGAACTCTCCTGCCAGCTACTTCAGGACCCTTGGGTGGATCCCATCAGGCCCCATAGACTCTTGTGTATCTAAGTGATGTAGCAGGTTGCTGACTTTCCCTTTGGGTTGTGGGGGCTTCATTCTGCTCCCCATCCCATTCTTCCAGCTCAGGAGGCTTGGTACCCAGAAAACAAATGACCTTACTATTAAAGACAGGCAAAGAAGGCATTAAGTACCTCAGCCTTTTCCTCATCCTTTGTCACTGTGTTTACCCAAGCATCCACTAAAGGATTGAAATTCCCCCTAGCCCTCCTTTTGTTGTGGATGTATTTATGGAAACAGTTTTTATTGTCTTCTGTGGCAGTAGCTGGATTAAGTTCTACTTGGGCTTTGGCCCTTCTAATTTTCTCCCTGTATAACCTATGACGTCCTTGTAGTCCTCCTGAGTTGCCTGCCCCTTCTTCCAAAGGCCATAAACTCTCCACTTTCTTCCTGAGTTTCAGCCAAAGCTCTGTTCAGCCAGGCCAATCTTCCCTGCTGGCTTGTCTTGCAGCGCAAGGGTTGGCCTGCTCTTGTGGCTTTAAGATTTCCTTCTGGAAGGATGTCCAGCCTTCCTGGATTCCTTTACCCTTCAATACTGCCTCTCAAGGGGCTCTGTCAACCAGAGATTAAATTAATTTAATCTGTAATTTATATCACCACACTGAAGGGCAAAGAATTTCTGGCAGCAAAGGGCTTGCCTTAATTGGTTTGCCTTTTTATCATCATTGTTTGTGAAAGGGGTATCATGAAGTGATCATTACTTAGAGTGCTAGATTTAAGCAGGATTGGAAATTTGGTGAGTCTTTTTGACTTGGGCAAGGATTTCTGTTTAATCCAGTTAGCCATGGAAGCCAGTAGCTGTCTTACAGTCTAGTGCTATTATTTTTCTAAATGGGGCTGTTCTGCTAACTGTCAGTGCTAGCATCAGCTCTGGGATCCTTTTGTTCCATGCCATTACCTTCTGCATGTCAAAATCTCACTAGTTTGGAAGATTTATAGCAGGTACATTTCTGAGGTGGGAAGGAAAGCAAGGTACATAGGAAAAAGGGAGCAGAGCTACCAAGCTAGTAAACAACATGAACAAAAACCTTTTCTAGACAAAGTTGCTTTCCTATACTGGGAGTTCATTCTCATGAGTTCATCTCTGCAGTCCGTGAAAGTCAAAAAGAAACTGCACCAACCAGCATGAATTTGTTCTCCCTTCTTGCGTTGGCAGTTTTTCATTCAGTGGAAACAGTAGTAGCTTTGCTGAAGCAAAGAATCCTTTCCCTGTAATGGAAACGGTTCATTGCTGTCCTGATGGCAGATATAGTCATACTTGGGGGAGAAAAGGCATAAATACTTGGACTGTGTCTTTCAAATTACTGCCATCGTTTATACAGATTCTTGATTGTGCCTATTGCAGCTCTTCCTTTTAAAACAGTTTAAATGGGTCAGTTGGAGATCTTAGTCCTTAACATTTTTTATTTCTTGTTGAAAGATGTTAAACCTGTAGTTTTTTAAGAGTTGACCTTGCTCTCTCCTAACTAGTTGTCAGAATGGCTGCATTAAACATAGTGTTTGTTCACCTTTCTCTTCCTTCTGGCTTCTTAGAACATTTCAAACGGTCAAATACGAAGGTGGCATAAATATGTTCACACTAAATAATGAAAAACTGAGATGTCAGAGTTCATATTAGGCTGAAAGAAGTTTCAAGTACTATTAGGTTTTCTGGCATGGCTTGAAATTCCTGCCAGGGCAGTGCACTGGTGGAGATTGTCCATTAGGGGTCAGTGAAGCTCCACCAGTGGAAGTGTTCCCTGCCCCGTCAGATGAAGGGTACCCTTTTCACTGCTTCCTACTGTGTAAATGTCTCTTTCCTCAAAACTCCTGCTTTTTCCAAAGCAACAACTTAAAGTATAATAGTGGTGTATAGCTGTGGGCACTAAAAATATTGCCAAAGAAATGCACAAGTGTGTTGTTTCGGTAGAAGAAGGAAATACTGAAGGATTAAAAAGACACTTTTCTTTCTGTATGCAAAGTTGTGTTTGCTTAAGTGTCTTTTCTGACAAAAAGGATATTTTTAGCTAACTTCCAGTGATCTGCATGTTAGGTGCAACCTGTTGTACTTCTTGAGGATCCCCTTCAATTTCAAGTCTCCAGATGGGCCTTCTTAATTTCCTAATAAATGAATCAAAATGTACCCCCAAAAAAACCACTGTGACTTATTACTTTTCGTTTTATCAGGACTCATAATATCTTTTTTCATTCTTTTTTTTGGAGCAATTTTAGAATTGTCCATAAAATTTGTTTTTTGTACTATTATGTGATTAGGTGGTCTTGAGTGAAATTATTTTTCCTTCCAACTCTGGCCAAAATATTGGTAAACTATCTCTGGTGAAGACTGCTTTTCCTTAAAATTGTAAAGGTAAACTTTATATATTACTACCAAGTACTTCAGAGGTCTGATTCTATACATTATTCTTTGAAGACACTGTTCTATTACAGAGGATTATAGGATCAATACCATTTAAACAAAATTTTATGTCAGTCTGGCTAAGTGCCAGCCCTTG